GCTTGGCTAACTTCTATTATTTGAGAACATGATGAACTTTCGGCTTAAGTTCCAGCCTGTTAGCCAAAGACTATGGCAGCAAGGTTCATGTCGTTGTCGTTGTCGTTGTCGTTGTAGTTTATTGCAATTTCTTATTAATAAGCGCCTTTTATGTGGAGCTGGTAGTCGCAAGTTGCAAGTCGGATGCCGGGAGCCGCCGCCAGTTGGCAGCGGGCGTCAGAGCCGTCCCATGGGCGACATTAACGTTAATAATAATAAAATGTGTAATTGCATAGAACGAGAACTGCGCAGCATGTCCAACTCCCGAGACAGTCCAAGTCTGTCCGAGCCTGTGCCCGGTCCGTGCTGGCCAGTCGAAGCCGTCGAAGCCGACGAAGCCGACGAAGCCTCTCTGCCGCTTGCCGCTTGCCGCCTGTTTCCAGCATACCAAAAGGTGTAAATCATTTTCTAATCGCAGCAAGCAGATCACATGCACGCACACTCGCACACTCGCACATACACACGCACACACGCACACACCATTTACTTTTGTTTTTAGCATTCGCATTCGGCTTTTGGCATTGCATTGCAGTTTATGCTGTTGCAATGGTCAAAAAGACAATGTGCGTCGTCGTGGCCGACGTGGCGTCGCAGCCAATCAATGCATGAAAGGCAATAGAGAAGCCATTGGTCACGTCCTCGTCCTCGTCCTCGTCCGCGTCTTCCGCATCGGATGCATGGCATCCATAGCAACTTGGCCCCCAGTGCCGTCTCGGCACCAGCCTCTTGCCGCACTCTCGGTCAGCCGCGGATGCAAGGCACTTGCCATGTTGTCTGTTCTAAATGGATTTTGTTGGCATTGTCTGGACGCTGCTTGCAGTTGCTGGCCGCAGCACGAGGGTCGTTTTTGTGCCTCCTAAACGGCTCATGTTAACACAATTTTTTTGAAATTATTATTAAGTTAAGTTAGCTTACCAAGCATAATTAAAGCTTTTTTATGCAACTATTGTTGTCATTGCCATTAAAATATCCAAAGGAATTTTAATATTTAACCGAATATGCGAATCGCCCTTCTATGCGATTTTCATTCCTTATTCATAGCAGATAGGTTGATGCCTTGGCTGATGCATATGTCTTTGACATTCTCTCTGTCTTACTCGCATCTTTTCATATTCTTCCTGGTAATTTTTCTTGAAGTCTCGCTGCCTATACTAACCCTCTCCCTCGCTCTCTATATGTTTCGCTCTCCCTCTCTGTCTCTCATTCCATCTATATTTTCCTCTCTCTGACATACTTCCTGTCTTTCTTACGCACATGATCACTCACCTAAATGTTTGAAAATCGCATAGAAGGGCGATAGCTTATATGCTTTTGATGTATATGGACAATAGAGAGCTGGAATAAGAGAGAGTATTCACCAATTTCTCTTACTTCACAGCATAAAAAACCTAATACAAGCACATTTCGAGCTGCCCTCGCAATTGCAATTGATGCTGTTGTTGCAGTTACAGTTGATACAATAGTTGTTGTTGTTGTTGTTGTTGTTGCTGTTGACTTTGAGCTGACTTCAGATTGTGCTAGTCTCTCGCTCTGCTTGTGGCTTTATTGCTGCACAAAATTTAATTCAATAAAATCAACGAAAATTATGTGGACTTTTTGGGCTGCTGCGGCAGTTGCAGCAGCGATTGGCATTCGTGTAATCAAAGAGCGCATAATATAATACGGAACTGACCCATTATTGAATGCACTTGGAGGCAAGGCAAAAAAAAAAAAAAAAAAAAAAAAAGAAGCACAACTTTTGCGAGATTATATGGAAAGTTGTGGAAACTTTTAAGTTTCTTGCGTCTTAATTTGCGCATTATCCTTGTAATCTTAATTAAGCTGACTATCAGGCAACGCAATCCCTGCCAGCCCTGAGCCACATCCGCAGTCGCTTGCGGTTTGCTCATCTGTTAGTCGCCATTTTCTTGCATTTTCCTTTGTTGTTGTTGCTTTTGCAGCGTGTTTCACACAAGTGCAAATTTTTTCATACCCACTGCACACTGTATTCTACATCCGTGCCGTTTCCGCATCCGTTAACACTTACGCCGGCAACGCGTATACGCCCCGTCGGCCGGGCGCGAGAAAAATGAAAACCACCAAATGGAGTAAACGCTCGCAACTTCCTTAAGCAACATAGCATAGCATGAGCAAGGCTTGTGGCATATTCCCATTGTCCTTGCCACAAGTTGCAAGTTCATTTGCCAAACAACGCAATACCCGCACCCAGATCGAAGCATTACATTTATTACAGATGTACAGAAAGCACTCATCCTAGATATAACAAGATTCCTTTTTCTATTGGAAAATTGAGTTCTTTTAAAGTGTGTGAAATAATCCAAAAGTCTATCTTTTTATTGTTTTTGTTTCTAAACATTCAAACCTTGAGGTGAGAAGTTAAGATAAAAGTTGCTAGCTTTAGTCTTAATCACGCGAATTTTATCAACTTATTTTTTTATAATAATAAATTAAAAAGTAAATCCAACTTCAAGGAACTTAATCAAAGAGAAAATACTATAAAAATATTATTCGAAAATAAGATCAAATAGAAGATACACAAAAGCTGGGTATATCGATGGCCGGGCGAACTTGCGCTTTGTGTTTTAATACTCATTAACAAGATAAAAACGGGTATATTGGTCTTGTGCAACGTTCGTCGGTGTGTTCATACGAAGATAAGATACTTAGATACTTGAACTTGGAATATCAATATCTGCCACAGTTCATGAACTTCGCTAGAGATAGACCGAAAATCATTTTGACTAATCAATTTTGTTTTTTTTTTTAGCTGTTATTGGACTGTGAGCGAGTATTACGCAGTCGGTTGTATGCGACTGCAACATTCCCATTCGTTTTTTTTTTTTTTTTTTTTTGTTTTTATTATTGTTGTGTGCAGCCACAGACACTCGGCACTCGGAACAACGAACTGAACCAGAACCAAACGTAATTATTTCAATTAACTTTGCTAAATTTATTTATGCATGCGTGTGCCTCTGTGTGTGCTTGTGTGCGGGGGCGTCTACATGCTCCTGGCGGGAGGGGGCGTGTGCACATTGTCAACATGCCCGTTAACATCCTTTAATTGTTGTCGTTTGCAGACGCAATTGCTCCATTGGATTTTGTTTGTGCTCTGAAATGCTTTTAACCCTCCTGCATAGCGGATGATGTCCACTCAAGGTAAAGGTATTTCGAATCATCAACGTATATAAACATGTTCTTGATGAGTCTCAATTAGACGAGCCTGATCGGCCAGATAATAACATTCAGTTGAAGATTGGGTGCTTCTAGTCGATAATATTTATCATTTTGTATAGATTCTTATCTATTTACATAAGTGTGTGGTTCACAAAGATCGGAAGTAGATAGAGAACTTAGTGCTTGACTAGTTGAATCCAATTCAAGCAAAGTTCATTCTTGGAAACCTTTTTGTTTTTCTATATATCTTGACCCATCTTGACATTGACGAGCATTTTCGCATTTTCCAAAATTGACTTTTATAGGCAACATTTTACTGTTTTAAACAATATGAAATCTGTTTAAGGGCCAACTGTCTGCAAGGGTATTCAAATTTCGGCTTGACCAAGCAGCCGCTCCTATGTGTTTTGAGTTGTGAAGAGCTTTTGTTCTTCCAAAATTTCCAGCGCTTGGACTAAATACGAGATCATGTCTTAGGGCCGCGGACTGGACCACTGCCGTTGCGGTCTGGCCCAGAGATTGGGATTGCTGGGCGGGTGTTGGCTTTAAGGGAGTGCGGCACGCGGAACTGAAAATAAGCCGCCATTCATGCACATATAAACAAATAAACTATGCGGCGACTTTGGCTTTCATTCATTCCCAGGCACACGATTGCGACAGCAGAGCCGGGGGGGCAGAAGGGGGCCGGCTGGCATGCAATTGAATGCCAGGCCGGGTACGTCAACGTCAAAGTCGACGTCGACGTCGACGTCAAAGCTGGCGTACAGTGAGTACTACGCGACTTACAACTGCAATTACAACTACAACCGAACGTTGTCCCGCTGCCCGCTGCCCGCTGCCCGCTGCCCCTCCACCTGTTGGGGCTACGCTCTGTGCAGCCGGCAGGCACAGAAGGGCATTGCCTGGCGGGGGTGGGGAAAGGGGTTTGTGTTGGGGGTGGTTGGAGGTTTGCGTACAATGAGCCAGCAACGATGTTAACTGAAAAATGCTTTTCGCTTTGCCTGTTGACGGGAAGTTGGGTTAGCATTTGTGCCGGCGCTTGGGGTTGCCACACAGCAAAAAATAGCCGCGTTTAATTCAATTTAAATTAAGCAGGAATTCAATTTAATGTCTAATAAAAATTAGAAGTAAGCAAATTCTGGCATTAAAATAAAACCAAAATAGGTATTACAAATGAAACAAGAAGCGATGTTTGCTAAGTTATTTTTTAAATAAAAAATGTTCAGAGCATAAAAATCGGTGCATATTGTCCGATCATTTTAAAATTTGTAGGTGAAATGTGTTTTAACCAAAATAAAATTTAGAGGAAGCTTGGGAGATATCCAAAAATGATAGTTTAAATAATTTTACTCACAATTTTAGGCAAAAGAGAATATAAACTTCGAGAAACTATGAAAGTCTAGAAAAATACACAAATCAATTCCTTATAATATTAAATGGGAAATAAAATGTATTAAATTAAATCGATGAAATCAAATAAATTTTCACCCAACAATGGCATACAACTAAAGCCATGAGAAATTAAATGTACTGCGAAACTTTTCACTGTGTATTTGGTGGCTTAGCGGGTTGTAGGGTCTGAGCTGGAGCTGCCGCTGCTGGTGGTGGTAAATTGCTGCTGTTGTTGCTGCCACCGCGGCACTGTGGGGGCACATAGTGCAGTGAACTTGCCACCAACTAAGTATGCTATACGAAACTCGTTTAATTGGGAAAGCATACACCATAAGTAATTCATTAGACAAAACAGAGAAAGGTTGTTGAATATTTATTGTTGTAGTGCACATAAGTATATAGAACCCATTTAAATATGTATTGTAAATCAATTCATGTAGCGGCTTGTACATTGGTATTTGGTAAACAGTTTTTTAAATCGAAAGCATTTTGGGTAGTGCATTAACGCGCTTACATCAAATATATATATGTATGTTATATTGAGTTTGGAAAATATTTTTGTATTGGATTTTTGGATATCGTAATATCGTTTGCTCTTCAATTCAATTGTCGTTTAATCAATGTTATCGTGGGGTCGTCATTCGGTTCTGTTTCAGTTTCAGGGTAAATATTGTCCATGATCATATTGCCAATTATCCTTCTTGCTTCCATAGCCATGGTCGGGCAGAACTTTCGGGGTGCGATACAAGCTTTTTGAGTAGTTCAAGTAGTCCTGGAAAAGGTTAAAGACTTTAGCAGCTGGCTTTCTATCTTAGCTTAGATTCAGCGCACTTTCTCGTTCTTTCGCTGGCGCGACAAATGATACAGATCCAACTTTTGCGTATCTGCCGGTTGCACCTGGAGCACGGCCGAGGAGGGCGAGCCATTCATGGGCTTGGCGTGCGACTTGAGCTTCAGCTGTAGATCAATGGCCGGTGGCGGCTCGTGACGAATGCGCTGCTCAATCTCGTACAGCTCTTGCTAAATACAGAGTGTGGACAGAGCTCAATGGTCATAACGTATTGATTGTTCGATTGCCCTACCCGATTCTTGTAGACCATGCAGCAGGCGCGCAGCGTAAAATAGTATATGATCTCCACGCCGGAGAGCAGCGAGAAGCCCAGAAACAAACTGGCAATGCCGCCAAAGGACACAAGCAGATCCACCCAGCCAAAGAGCACCTCGCGTTTGTAGCGTATGATGGGCCATGTAAGGAATTCCACCAGCACGCCAGGAGCGTCCGGGCGATCCAATCTTTTGGTAAACACATATTTGAAAAAGCAGAAAATCAAACGAGTCTTTGTCTTTGGCTTACACTTTTATGAGCTTGTCTATGTTAAAGACGGTCTTCGAACAGCTCAGCTCGCACTGAAGGCAGTCCTTGATGTTGGTTATGTTCAGCCTGTATTCGTTGAGGCAGACGAAGTCCTTGACCGCGCACATGGGCACATTAGCTAACACAAATAGACGAACAAGCGCGATGTATTGCCGAAGATTTGATACCCTTGCGAAAGCTGAGTAACATTAAAAGTGTCTGTTCTAAGCCCCGACTTCCACTATATTTTTTACTATGTTTCGAAATGAAACAAATCCAAAACACGAACAAGACGGCAATTTTGCCTAGGCAGACTTAGTTCGAAAGCATAAATAGATTGAAGCCCAACTGTTCGATTCATATAACCAATTTTGGTTAAGAATCGGATTATAAATTGAATTGTTTCTATGAAGTTTTCAAAATATATGAGAAAGCTCTGTTTGAAATGAGATTTGGTCTTATGAATATGAAAAAACAGGTGCACAAGCAGAGCTTTAAGGCAGAAAGCTGGTTCAAACTGAACTAACTATAAAGATCTCATTTGGTGAGCTAGATATATGACAAGGCAGTCCGATAATACGTAAGTATAATAGCCAACCGGGATTAGCATATCGGAGGCACTTACTTATGGGCTTGTAGAAGGGCGGATTGCACTTGCATAGCTTGATGGCCTTGTTCATGCGGCACTGCTTCATGCAGGATGAGAAGGTATAGGCATCTGGGAAATAGTTCAGCTTGACCTCATCGCTGAAGATGCACTTGCGCTGGCCAATTGAGAGCTGGCGTGCATCATCTGTGGTGTAGGTGTTCTTCTTGGAGATGCGCACCTCGACCAGTTGACCCTCGGTCCAGTCGATTTGGGCATTGAAATCCGAGCCAAAGTACTCTTCGTTCGAGAAGATAAATATCTGCATGGCAGCAATCATAGTATCCATGATGCATATATAAGGTTTTAGTGGCTTACCCGGGAGGTGCTGTTGGGCAGAAAGAAGAGAGCCCATTTCTTGTCCGTTTCATAGAGATCGTGAGGTGCACCCGTCTTAGAGCTTAAAAGCAGAGTTATTGGGATTGTTGAGGGTATGTTTAATGTGGCTGACTTACTCCTCGGTTGCCGTGGACATGAAGCGACTGTTGAAGGCGTAACAAAATCCATGTTCCGTGTAAATCGGCTGAAAGTGATCGCAGCAGACAATATCCTCGTCACGATACTTGCACGAGATAAGCGTACTCTCGCATGGGATATGCGCCCGGAAGGCCCAATCCCGTATGCTGCGCTCCGAGAGCAGCTCGGCTGGTATTGCCTCCGCCAGCATTTCGGCATCCCGGATATTATCAAAGTTAAGCGACGTAAGCAGATCCAGAAAGGGGGTAAACAGCTGCGCCTTATCCGCATCATAGTTCCTGTGGTGGTGCCAATTACAATAGGAGCAACCTGTAGACGACTGTTAACACTCACGCCAGGGACTTGTAGACCTCATTGTAGGATGTCTCATGATCAAAGGCCGCCTCTGGACAGACCACCGTGGTGGGAAAGACAACGTTCTGATTGTGAAAGTCCGTGTCCAGGCCGGTAATTGTTGGATTCGTTTGGAATTTCTCCCACAGGCTCATGATGATGACCAGGGCGGTCACCGCACCAATTGAGGTGAAACAGAACCACATGAACTTCTCGCCAATGGGTCGACCCGTCTCCGCAATATAACGCACGCCATGCAGTGTAGAGTTTTGGAAGAACTCCTTCGTCTGGTAAATGAGACTGCGCCGAAAGATGACCAGCGTCTCAAGCAGCCGCTGCCGCCTGGTCATCACAACGATTGTCTGCTCTGGTTTCTCTTGCGGCATTTTCGTTTCAGGAACATAGCTCATGGAACAGTCCTGCAACGTGCCACGGAACTTTTGCAACTAACCATTAGGGGCTAAAATGCAATCGCCATTGGTCACCGTCCAGCGCCTTCTGTTGTGGCCATTCGGGCCATTGTGGCACTAAAAGCCTTTCATTGTTTATGCATTAGTTGCCCCCGACTTTGATTGAGACCCGGGATTGACCCCGTTGATGACAAAAGATAATTAAACGCAAAACGCCGGCAAATGCTGGCCAGCGCTTATCTTGATGCCTCATTAGCGTATAGCGTAATGTCCTGTTACCTGTTACCTGTTACGTCTGGCCTGGGTTTGGTCTAGCCGCATCTGGTCACGGCATAGCTTGGTTGGCAGTCGAGCTGGTCGCGAGCCGGGGTTGCTTTTTTTCTGTACTTATAATTTATATATTGCCTATCATTTCATATAGAACTTAATCCAGTTAAAAGGAACCGCAAGCTGGACTTGATTAGGCTATCCGTAGTCCAATCCAGAGCTCTGCAGCACGGGTCTGAACACAGCCCACGCCCACCTCTGGTTAGAAGGGTGGCTGCCAACGCCTGCGGCACGTTGGCTGCATTTTGTTGCGCCTTCAAAATGGCGCCAGCCGCTTTGGTCGCGATCGTGGTTAGTGCTCGGAACTGCTATTAGTGGGTCGCTAGAAGCAGCTGCCGGGCTAATTGGTCGCTAGTCTGCACAATTTCCGGCGGCGCCGTAGTTTGCCAATCAAAGGCAAAAAATAAAATAAAAACGAAAAACAAGTACGGTTTGAATGAATAAACTCAACTCAGCCAAACACTCGCACAGCAACCGGCATGAAGTTCACAAGTTTTGTGTGAACTTCTGACACGGCGAATGGTACGACGCGACGGCGCTTTGTTTGCTTGGCCAAGTGGCTACAGCCAAAGCTCCGGCTCCAAGCAGAACAAATGAAGTGGTTTCAAGTTTCAAGTTGCCCAGCATCGCAGACAGGCGGCAGACTACCGAACGCTGAACGCTGAACGCCGAACACTGAACAAAAGGGCTGGCGATCACGAGCTGATGCTGACCCCGATTCCATACACCAGATAAGTGCAACAGCCTGGCTGAAAAGGACCTCCGCATTTGCAATTCTCTGTCATCTTGAGTTTCAAACTGGCGCCAGAGCGCAGCACTCCTCCTGCTCCTCCCTCTCCACAGTAGCGGTCCCTGCTTGTCCAACATTTTAAGCAATCATGTCCCTGGCGCTGCTGTTTCAACCACATCAATTATGCACTAATACCAATTTGCAATTTCCCAGCTCTATTACAGGTGCTGCAGGTGCTCCACTCACGCTCTAGGACACTTCGACAAGGATGAACACCGATCTTTGCCTGCAACTGCAACTGCCAACTGGCAACCGAATGCAATTACGCGATCGCGACCCACTTAAACCGAATGCCGCTATATACTCACATATTGCTATGCACTTGTAAAGGGTATTGTCTCGTTGTTACCGACTATGTAACGAATAGAATATTACGAATATTACTATTACAAATATAGGATATAGTTAGAACCAATCTTGGACTACGGATGAGACGACACCCACATGGAACACATGAAATAACCGGCATCTTTATTTTCCTAATGGCTTTTAAAAATGCCATACTTCATTAGTAGCGGATATTATACGGCTTTTCTCAAGCATCATGTTTTTCTTAACTTCCCAGGCATGGGCAAGCATATTCATAGCAAATTTTCACATAATTCGATTTAAGAAAGACAAGTTTGCAGCTGATCTGCTGAGCATACTTTTATAGTACAGATTTCAACACATAATCAATATTAATTGATTAAGTTGCTGCATAAAAGTCAGGACTGCACACTCAAAAAAGAAATGGTCGGCTATTGGACTTACGGATTCGAACCAGCTCCCTGCCTTGAATGTTGGTTACTGAACCCGTCTTCCCACAATCATGAGCCCAGGCCTCGTTTCAAAGTATAAATGTAAAACTTGCATTGTATAAGGAGAGCTGATCTTAAGATATGATCTCTACCCAAGTTGGGCATCTATCAAATATGATTAGATAAACTCGATGGCTGGGGCCAAAGCTATTGATGTCTTGGGACTGTTTCTACCTCAAAAGTTTAGTGTTACCAAATTTAAATACCTTGAACATGAAAGCCCAACACTTGCAGTCAAAGTTATTTAAATTTTGGCACTGGGTCTCACTCAGAAGCCGTCTTCTAATCAAACTACTTTGATGATATTTTTGCAATAGGATAATAAATAATAGTATATAGGGTACAAAATCTTCGGCAACACGTTTTTGTCTTTTCAAGTATTTTTTTTTTTTTAGTTTCTTTAGTTTTTTATTCAAGTACTGAACTGTTTCTTATCAGCGATCATTTGTCAAAGCGTTGCAAGAGCCTGCCTGGCCACGAAGTTCCACGAGTAAAACTAAAAAAAAAAACATACACAAGACGATGTGGAGGGAAGGGCAATTGCAACAATTTGTTGGCTCCAGTGCCGCGTCGGTTGACAAAAATCAACGCCACCGCCATCTGCACGCTTATAAATAAGAAATCCAGAGTCCACGCAACTGAAACCGAATCCCGAGCCATTACCTTAAACCAAGTCCGAAGTCAAAGTCGAACCTGCCAAGTGAAACTCGTTGTAGCCTCGCAAGGCGGGGGGCGACGTTGCGAATACACGGACAAAAAAATTCTTCTTTTAAGTTAATCAGGCTTTTTTTTTTACTCTTAAACTAAGCTTTCAACTAACTTTTAACTGGAAAAAAGAAAATACAATTTTAAATTACGTCCAATTTGTTCTTGAATTAATCTCTGTTTGGGCTTAAAACAAGCTTCATTCATATAAGACGCTTTATAGCTTTCGAATCTTACTTAATTTAACTCTCTGCAGCTTGATACGCGCTTAAAATATTTTCAAATTTTCAATTATCGCATGAAGTGCTCAATTTTTCTCTCTGTGTACGCACACATATGCATGCATAAAGTGAGGCAGCAAGAACAACATGAAGCTTCGCAGCCCAATTCTCCTTCTGTGAATGTTCTACACGATCCGGCTGAGAAATAAGCCCCTGCGTGTGTGCGTGCGCGTGCGTGTGTGTGTGTGTGTGTGTGTGTGTGATTAATGGTAATTGCTTTTATGGTTTTTTGCTGTGCTTGCCACGCTTTCCGCCAGCAATTTGTTGTTGTAATTTCGCTTTTAGTCGCAACAGCTGCCGCCGAGCAAAGTCTTAGTCAGAGCCACCCAAACCCCTCCCCCTCCCTCCCCACCCGCTATTCCGACCTGGTTAACCGTGAGCTGTATGAAATAGTTAACTCCGTTTATAGAGCTATGTGTCCTTTCAGAGCATCTATGTTTATATAATCAATTATCAAAATATACTATTAAAATCGGTGCTCTACTCAACTACACGTAGCTGATGCCCTTTTCAATGGACTTCTTTAAATCGCTAACCGCCGACTCTAATGCCAACTTTTCGACGTCATTGAGCTCAGGTATGCCATGGTTCTCCTCGATGCCCTTGGGGCCAAAGCTCAGCGGAGTGGCGAAAAAGCATGCCTCGGTCAAATCGGATTGCACATAGGCACTCTCGATCGGTGTTTTGTCGCCCTTCAGGCCCTTTAGAAGGGCATCGGCAAAACGATTGGTTGCATATGCTATCGAAAGGGTGGCAGACCCTTTGCCCTCTTTGGCCAAAACAATCTCATCGCCGGCCATCTGGATGCGCTGGACAAGTGCGGCTATGCACTCCTCATCGGCGTTTACGGCAGGCTTGCACTGCGAAAGGATGGGCATTATGGTGATACCAGAGTGTCCACCGATAACAGGGACTTTCACTTCCTTGGGATCAATGTTAAAATAATTGCCAATAAATCGTTCGGCACGCACACAGTCCAATGTTGTGACACCAAACAAACGATTCGGATCGAAGACCTGATTCCTTTTGAGTACCTCGGCGGCCATGGGCACCAGCGTATTAATTGGGTTCGTAACGATCGCAATAAGCGCATGCGCCGAGTTTTTGGCAATTGCGTTAACCGTTTGAATAATAATCTTTGCATTTATCTCGAACAACTGTTCACGTGTCATGCCCGGGCCACGACCCATGCCGGCTGTGATAATAACCAGATCGGCTCCTCTGACAGCTTTCTCTAGCTGTTCGGGACCCTGAAAGCCCTTCACATCAGTCGCTGTGGAAACGTGAGACAAATCGGCACTAACACCCTTAACATTAACCAGATCGTGCAGAACCAGCTCCGTAATCATCGAGTTATACATTAGCAGCAAGGACAGAGGCTGACCAATGCCGCCGGCAGCTCCGACAACGGATACCTTAAAGTTACGCCGCTGATCGATTCAAATCGGATACATATATTATCATTATTATCATGGAAAGGCCTCTTTCCCATTCTATTAGCTGGCTTACCACTTGCAGGCGGCAGGCTAACGGACTTAGGCCAGCCCAACAGATGTGACGAGAAGCTAATAATGAGCTTCTAATTTGGCCACCAAACATGATCAATTTAAAAAAAAAAAAAATAACTGAATAAGAAAACTAAAATTTTAAAAATTGTCAAATTATGAAGTATACTGACTCTGCCCAGCCGTTACTGTGTTCCCTTTGTAAATTTATTAGTAAATGAAAATATTAAATTTGGACCCAAGAGCTTAACAAAACAAGTAAGAGGTTCTAGTCGAGAGCTCTCGATACCCTGAACCCTCTTCTTACAACATCAAATGCATATATATATTCTATTTTTGAAGCAACATATCATGTTTCGTGACTCTAGCTCTTATTATTTAGCAAAATTACCCAAAAAACAGGATATCGATATCGATTTTTATCGATTGCTTGGAACGGAGTAAGTTATCGATTATCGGAAATAAACTCGATCTGCGCAGGCACTAGAAGCACATACATCTAAAACATACAGACGGACGGACGTACGGACGGAGACAAACGAACATGGCTAGATCGACTCGGCTATTGATGCTGATCAAGAATATATATACTTTATGGGGTCGGAGAT